GTATATCAGAATTACAAGCTAAAGCATGGATTGATTTGGAGTATTTTGAAATTGATTTGGCTTTTAAGAGAGTTTCTGGTGAAATAAATGAATTCGAAGTAAACTGCTATAATGAAAAATATAAATTAAGTAAGTTTTATTTTTAAAATTAAAATTCTAAATTATTATTAATTTAATTTAAATTAATTTTATAGCTTTAACATATGCAAGAGTATTTACGAATATCATGAATAGTGAAGCTTATTATCGAATGTTTAATTCTTTATTTGATTGGATATTAAAATTAACTGGACAATCACCACAATTTTATCATATACATAAAACTGGCTGGAAATGTATTATTGGAGATCTTGATAATTCACAGGCAAAAGGCTTAGGTGAAGCTTTACATAGCATTGATAAAAATTTATCTTGGGATGAGCATCTTTGTTATATATTTAAAAGTTGCCGTATCCATTATTGCAGGTAAAATTTTAATTAATTGTCTTATTTTTATTAATTAATTTAATAATTATCTTATTTTTTTTATTTAGAAATATTAAAAATAGTCATTATTCTTCTAAAAATAAAGAACTTATGTATGAATTACTCGAAGCTAATACATTTAAACGTGTTGATGAAATATTTGATGAATTAAAAGCATCTGATGAATTAAATATTAATGGTAATTATACAGTATATTAATAATTTATAATTTATATAATATATATAGCTCATATAACAATTAATAATTAAATTTTTAGATTGGGTTTCATTTTATAATACATCATGGGTAAAAGCCTCTTTAAATTTATTATTTTCACATATGGATACAGAAATATGGAATAAAGCACCTGATAATACAAATGTAGCGGAGGCAAGTCATGCTAATATAAACCGTGATGGTAAAGCTCTTTCTTTAGAAAATGCAATTCTTAAGTAAGTAAATAATATTATATTTAATGTTAAACTATAAATATATATATAATTACAATTATACTTTAAATTTTATATTATTAGAGCAAAGCATTATGATGAACGTTATTTTGCTATGTGTAATATTCAAGATAAATATAGAATTAGTAAATCAGGAAAGAATCATAGTATATTAACATGTGAAAAGCAAGCAATTAAAAGATCAGGTTTGAATTAAAATCTTTATTTATATAATATTTTTTATATATTATTTTAAATTTTATATATTTTTATAGTTCGTAATTCTCAAAAAACCAAGCAGCATAGTAATAAACCAACAAAAGTGTCAAAAAAGATAAAAGTTGATATTGATTCAACTCAGAATATAAAAAATGACTTAGAGATACAAGAAAAGCAATTGGCTATAAAAGAGCGAGAATTGGAATTGGAAGAGCGTAAAGTTCATTTAGAACGTGAAAAGCTTGAAATAATTAAATTAAAAAAAGAATTGGGATGCGAATAAATCTCTTGTATAAATAAGTACATGCTGTAGTATTTGCTTGAATAAATAATTATTTAAATTATACAGTAATTTAAATAATATTTAATTGTAATAAATTGCTTTGCATTCAAATTAAATTAAATTAGCATTTAAATCAGACACATAAATATTAGAAAAATTTGTATTTGCTTAGAAATAGTATATCTTAAAGTAATTAATTGCAATATTATTAATTCAGAATAAAAGAATATTAGTAGTTGTATAATGAAATTTATAAAATAAATACATCTTAGATATGGATATAGTATAATTTCTCGAAAGCCACTTTTTGAAAGAATACAATACTAACAAAGTTAGCTAAAATATTTATAATACTGGTTGATTTAGTTAGTATAATATTTTTTCAAAAAAATGGCTTTTGGGAAATTGTACCATAATGCCTTAGATATACTATTCATTATATTTAAAATACATTATTATTTGACCTATTTCTTCTTTAAATTAACTATTAATCAATTATATATATTACTTAAATCATAATTAATTAATTAATTAAAAGTAAATTGTGATTAACTCTGTTCCCGATCAAATTAATTTGATTCTATCATATCATGTGAACAAGTCATTCTAGCGATCGAAGTTTTATTAAAAAAAACCAATTCCAGTTAACTACTGTGGTTCTTCCATTAATAGTTATTATCAATGTCACGTAATATTTAATATTGAGTAGTGATTTTATTTTACTTACCAATAGTAACTATATCGTAATTATATTATAGAAACGTAGCCAAGGGAAAATTGAACTTTGTGCTTTCAAGTTTATTATTTATTGTTTGCCAGATTCAGCTCTTGAAAAACCTAATGGCAAATAATCGCATATTAAATATATCACCGATCAAATTTTTCATGGGCTAAATCTGAAAATAATAAATGATATACTTGAAAGCCCGAAGTCTCATTTCTCTTGGCAGCGTTCATATTTTATTTAGATACCATATACATATGTTTAAGTATTTGAGTAATACTCAGCCAAAAAAAAATCTATATGTTACTCATCTAGTTTAGCTTATATTACTGAGTAGCACGTTTTTTAACAGTACTCTATAAAAAAATTTTAATATGCTACTCAGTTAAAATGATATACTCTACTGAGTAGGGTAATACCTAACGAAGAGGGCTTCATGAATTGGTAAAATTTGTTTCGTGTAATGTTGCACTATTTGTGCAACTTTTTTATGGCTGGTGTAGTTGTACTGTGGCTGGTGTGGCTGGTGTGGCTTGTAGTACAAAGAGGCTTGTGTAAGGTTGCTAAAAATAGCAGGTAACGCTATACGGATTTGTGTGATATTAAAAAGAATACAGATTTGTAATTGTTTGTTTTGTGCAAAATCAATAAAGAATTAAAAAGGAATTTTTTAAATGGAATTTTTAATTGAGTGAACCACTAATTTTTGAGTTTTCAAAACGTGTTTGGGACCAGATTTGAGTAAGAAAAAAAGGGGGAAAAAGAAAAAAAGAGGAAAAAAAAAGAAAATTTATAAGGAAGAGAGTTTGGAGAGTAATTTGACTGTAAAATGGTCAATTTTAGACCGTTTGTAATGAATTTTATATCAAAATGAAGCTAGAAGCGAGCCTGAGGACTTTGTCTTAAGAAGTAAGACCAGTTTCCTTGGCAGATTTTGAGTAAACTCAAAATGTATTTGTTTTGACAGAGGTTTATTTAATTTAATTAAAATCTCGTTTAGAGCTATAAAACTTGGTAGTTATATGTAAAATGGGGTGTAGAACAATAAAAGTTAATTAAAAGAGTATAATAAAAAGCACAGTTTTGAAAAAACTTGAGTTTTGTTTTAGCAAAATTTGGTACAAGTGATCGTCGGGAAGAGTTAGTGAATTGTGTCCTGACTCAGATTATTAAATTACAAAATATTAATATTAAATTATTTTTTAAAAAAATAAGAAAATTTTAGCTATAGAAGTATTGTAATAAATTGAAATTATCTCTGAATCCTGTAATTTAAATCAATTAAAATCTATACTATTTAATCATTCTCTATAAGAGAAATTAAATAGTGTAAATTTTGCCTGATTCTAATTTTTAAATCACAAGATATCCTGATTTGTCATTATATCTTTAACTATTGTATTCTATATATTATTATTTCATAAACCGTAGCCAGAATTAGATAAAATTTATACTATTTAATTTCTTTTAATGATAAGACTTGAATAGTATAAATTCTATCTAATTCTGATTATTGAATTTAAAAATAATCTGATTTGTTATAATATTATCTTTGTTATAATACTTCTTCTTTTTAGTATTTAAAATAAAAGATATAGTTTTGTAATATTTTTAGCTTAAAATTATAAAATAAAAATTTAAGCTTTATATAAGTTAAAAATATGCAAATTTAAAAAAAATTAAATAAAGAATAATTTACAATTTTTTAATATAAATTTTTTTAAATATTATCTTTAGATTTATCATTTTTAATATAATATTGTAAATTGTATTAAAATATAATAATTTAAAAATTTTTATTAAATTAATACATGTCTTAATATAGCATTTTTTTAAAAAATAAATATGAAATAGATCTGAAAAGATTTATAATCATGTGATTTTTAACAAATTTTGTTATATTTTATAATTTAATAATTAAAATTTGTTAGTTTTAATATCTTTTGAACTGCCTTATAAAGATAAATTGAATAGTACTAAAATTGTTATATTTTAGCTATCATATCATGAAATATTATTATTTAAAACAAGTTTTATAAAAACTTAATAATTTTAGTATCTAATAGTTAAAATTTAATAGGTTTGATATTATTTGATTCATCATGCTAAGACAGTTTGAATAGTATCAAAATCACCAAATTATAATAACTAAATTATGAAATATTTGCAAAAAACTATTTGTAGTACAGTTCTGTTTTGTAAACTATACTGCAAATAGTTTTTTTGCAGGCAACTCTAATCTAGTAATTAGAATTTGTTAATTTTGGTACTATTTAAACCATCTTATTAAAATGAATTGAATAATATTAAAATTACTAAAATTTAATTATTAGATACTAAAATCATTGGGTTTATATTTTTAAAAAAATTTCAGAGCAAATTTGCAGAAAAAATAGTTTAAAAGATAGCATTATAGAATTAAAATAAAAGAAGTTCATTAAATTTAATATATAAAAATTTTAAAAAAACTGTAAAAATCTTAAAAAAAACTTAAATTAAATAAAATTTTATTTTTTTTTTTTAAACTTTAAATAATAATTTCTTAATAGTCAAAAAATATCCAAATTAGATGAATTTTATTTTATTTTAATTTTGTATATTTATAGATTAAATAAAAAAATTGATCAAATTTGAATAGCAAGTTGTTGAGAAATATATATTAAAAGCTAAAAAAAGTTTGACTATAGTTTCTTTTTAAAGATATTAAAAGTTTGAACAAAATTACTTAGCACTTAACTTGATTAAAAATTTTTATCTTAATTTTATAAGAATATAGAATAAATTTTTATCTTAATTTTATAAGAACATAGATTAAATTTTTATATTAATGAACAACAAATATATATGAAATAACTCTCTCCGCTAATCATTTGCACCAAATTTTAACAAAAGAAGAATTAGTTATAAAACACTTTTAGATATAGCAAACAATACAAAGTAGTCTAAGTAAAAAGGAAGAGCACCTAAAAATATATATACTTTGTTAGAACAACAACAAAGTTTTCACTACAAGTATTAGAACTTTCTTTGATTGAAGACATATTTTTTCTAAAAAATTACCTTTGAAAAATTTTTTTTTCTGTTTTTTTGGGAACACACCTAGATTCTGAATTGCAGATCACTATAAGATGCATAATCAAATAAACAAACAAACAAACAACACGCGTACAAACAAACAAACAAACAATTCATTACATGTTCACCTATAGCAAAACAAAAGTGTATTCTAAAAATTTTGAAAAGATAATTACACAACATATATATAGTACAGATATAATAGACAAATATTGAATACATGGATTTAATACTAATTAAAGATTTTGCCTTAGCATTGCAGAGTAAACAACAAGAAATACTTGCAGAGCAAAGTAAATTTATATTAAATATAGATCAAAATGTAGCAAGATACCTTGGGTATCAAGACCCAGCATTTATAACAACAATTTGCAATGCAATCGAAACTTATAAATAGGCATTGTGTAAAGCTGATCAAGATAAAAATTGTCAATCAAGGAACAGATACTCACTGGTAAAGTAACTGAGATTACAACAAGTATGAAAAAAGAAAGACTAAAACTAAATAAGAAGAAAGGATTAGAAATACTCTGCACTTCAACAAAAATGGAGCTCGACATAAAAGAAAAAGAACCAAATATCTGAGAAGAAACCTTAAAAAGGAAATATGAAATAGCAGATAATACAGAAGATTTTACTGCTAGAAAAAAAGAAGAAACACTTCTACTAAGATTAGCAGAAATGAACCTTAATAAGAGTGAAATAGAAGTTTTAAAAAAAGATAACACAAAAGGTGCAGAAACTAAAGCAACATTAATCTATACTGAGTTCGGACAAGAAGACCATGCAATACAAGAAGTAAAAGAATGGATAGGTATAGTTAAGAGAAAAGAAGAATTGAATGAAAAAGAGAGTAAAACAGGAGAAGATGATACTCTGAAAAGAAGGGAAGATATATACAAATCAAATCTCAAAAACAACAAGAAAGGAGCTTTTTACAAGGAAATAAATCTAACCATATAGGACCTACCTATATCGGCAAGAACAGGGAATATAAAAAGATGTTTGAAAACATATGAATCTTTTAGAAAACATTGAGTGTCATATCTCAGCAGAATGTAAAGCTGCCCATATTAGTGTTAGATATACAAATAAAGAAAAAAAGCATCTCCTTATGAATACTTGGGCAATTCATTATAAAATTGAAAAAACAGTAAGAGTAACAAGCAGCAGATTTAACAAAAAAGAACTGGGGTTCAGA